CTGGCTTTGGATTGGCCCAGCTCCTGCTGTTGTGGCCATCTGGGGAGCAAACCAGTGGCTGGAAGTTCTCAGTCTCTCCCTCTGCCTCTGACTTTCAAATAAACATCTTTTTTTAATTCAATAGAAAAAAATTTTCTAGGAATATCAAGCATTATGGAGTAGCAAAATTGACAGAAAATATGAAATCTATCATTGTATAAATAAGTATTTGAAATTTCCCAATCCTCCTTCTCCTTCCTTTGTTTATGGTTCTCTTCTGCTAGACCTCTGTCCATGAGGTTCCAAGGACCAGCTGACCTCTACTCTCTGCAAGAATCTGCATCAAATAAAGAGGGGTAATGGTTCAACTCACTCTCAGAGCAGTCGTGATAATCAAAAAATATAAGAACAATGCTAAAAGAGGAAATTATGGGGCAATATCACTTACAAATAAAACTCTGATATTGGACCTGCTGAGCTTGAGATCAGGTCAATATAGGGTTTATCCCAGGAATATAAGAGCATTCAACAGGAGAAAGATCTACTAAGGTAATGTACTGCATCAGCATTGTAAAAGAAAAAAGGAGCTGAAGTGAGTTTTAAAAACTTAAGTGGGGCCAGTGCCCTGGAGTACTAGGTTAATTCTCCACCTCGGTGCTGGCATCCCATATGATCCCATTTGGACGCCAGTTCTAGTCCTGGTTGCTCCTCTTCCAGTCGAGCTCTCTGCTGTGGCCTGGGAAAGCAGCAGAAGATGGCCCAAGTCCCTGGGCTCCTGCACCCGCATGGGAGAATGGGAAGAAGCACCTGGCTCCTGGCTTCAAATCAGAGCAGCTGCGGCCATTTGGGGAGTGAACCAATGGAAGGAAGACCTCTTTCTGTGTGTGTCTCACTGTAATTCTACCTGTCAAAATCTTTTTAAAAACCTATTAAGTATTGTTATGGAAAAATTAAGCAGTTTATCAAAAGAAGGGAAATGCCTTTAAGCTGAACATCTTCCAAAGACCTATGGCAACACTTGGGATTTACTGGAATGGACTAACTTCAAACAACTTTCTATCCTGCCCAATATTGATTTACTTCAAGTTTTAATCTCTTGCCTATGTAGAAATGGAAGGATGCCCCTTCCCTCTTAAGTTTCATAGTACACTGGTTAGGGCTTTTCTGAACTACTGACAAAAGGGGTGAAAGAGGTGAACCTGGCAGAGCTGTTTCCATTGCTGATGCCTAGAAACTCAGCTGAGTTTTTAAATATTGAATTTGCATTTGGTAATTTTGCTGAGCTCTTTTATTTGTAAGCAACATGATTTTCATCCTTCCTGACTTTGACAATGAATGAATCTGTATATAAGGAATCCATGAAATTTGTATATCTTACATAAAATTAAAAAATTGACGAGGCCAGGGCTGTGGCACAGCAGGTTAAATCACTGGCCTGAGGCGCTGTCATCCCATATAGGTGCCAGTTCTAGTCCCGGCTGCTCCTTTTCTGATCCAGCTCTCTGCTATGGCCTGGGATACCAGTAGAAGATGGCCCAAGTCCTTGGGCCCCTGCACCTGCATGGGAGACTGGAAAGAAGCTCCTGGCTTCAGATTGGTGCAGCTCCAGCCATTGTGGCCATCTGGGGAGTGAACCAACAGATGCAAGATCTCTCTACCTCTCTCTGTAACTCTTTCACATAAATAAAACTTTTTTAAAAATTTAAAAACTGACAATGAAGCCTAGTTTTTATTGTTGTGAGATCTTTTCTCCAAACATAAAGCAAATCATCACACAATGTTATTGGTCTGTCACAACTTTATTACATTGTCAAAAACACTAAGAAATGGTGATAGCTTATTGATATCAGTTTTCCTTAAATGCATCTAAATTGTCAATGCTGTTCCTGCGAAAATCTCAACAGCATTTGGCAAAAGGAGTTAAAAATGTATACAGAAGAGCAGAGGCCAGAATAGCCAAGACCACAACCACGGCTTTATAATTACTGCTATGGAGAGGCCCCCCCCACCGTATTTACCTATCAACAGTAACTATTAGAAGAATTATGAAGGATCCCAACCCACAGAGCAGTGCAGCTACACAGTCAGCTGCAGATCTCACAGAACAGACAGAGGTTGTATTTTCTATGGGAGGAAAAACATGTTCTTCCTGATAATGGCTATTAGGACAAGTCAGTCAATACTCCACTTGGAGTTGACTTTTCTGAGGACGTGTCTAGGCCCAGATCCTTTTGAAAAAGATTTTTACAAAGCCTAGAACTGACAGCTTGTGAGTTATTATGTCCACTGTTGTGTAGATGTTCAATTTTTAATATCAACATAAGACTCTTTGCCCTCAAGATAGAGAATGGTTTCTAAAAGTACAAGAAATACAGCTAAAGGAGTTTTCTTTATGGATTTTTCAGAGTGTGTCTAAGTATTTTCTAGAAGTTTAAAAATAGTTCAATGGCAAAAATCAAGGGATACCAACAAACAAAATCCAAATGTTCAGTAAACACATGGGAAGGTATGCTCTCACTAGTAATCATTCAGCTTTCACATCTGTGTGATCGGCAGCTGGATTTCTGTTGTTCCATTATTACCGTATTGTGATTCTTTACAGACGGTTCCCCTAGGACAGCTTACTATTGACACAGGTAAATACAGGGAGGCACTTTCTATAGCAGTAATTATAAAGCTCTAGTGATGTCTTGACAACGCATTGTTCCTTCTAGTATTATCTAATGTTACGTTGGAATTTGTTTTTATCCTCACCAACCCTAACTATTAGACTTAGTATTCTATAACCATCAGATTGGTACACTGCTGTTCAGGCAGACAACTGCCATTTTCCTCTAGCATGCATCTTTTAGCCCAGGGTGTTCATTAGTGTTAAGGCACTGTTCTTTTTCTTCACACATACATGGTGGTGCTAGAGTCCTTTTGAGAGGCTCTGTAACTGGTCCTGAGCAATGGCTGTGAATGCAACTGTGGTGTCTTTCCCACTGGTGAAGATGCTCCCTTGCCCTTTCCATTGTTTCAATGAGGGAGACCCTCACAAAGTCCACATGGTATGACTTCAAGATGGGATGTTTCATCAGCCCAGGTCCTAATGGACCCATGGTGGACATGTAATGTGAGAAATACGGTTGAATAGTACTGCAAAAAAATATCAAAAAGTCCCACATGCAACAATGTCTCTAGGCTATGACCTAGAAATAGAATTATTGGATATTAATACAGAATATGGCATTGAATTAGCATTTCCTAAATGCAAGCCTAAATGGGAAGCCTAGCCTACCCTAATTTTAGATGCAGAAATTCAATTCTTCCCATTTAGAAGCTCAGACAAGTAAACTATAATATGCTTTCCCTTCTGTGCTATTCAGCATGGTAGACACTGGGCACACGAACACCTAAAATGTGGCTAGGGTGACTCACAAACTATGTATAAACAAATTGAAGAATTGTAAACTCCATCAAGAAAACTTTTAGTGCTTTCAGAGAATTGCTTTTAATAACCAAAAATTTAGCATTAAAATTGATGCACACTGCACATCTAAAATGCACACCAGATTTCTAAACCTTGTAAAATGTTTTTCAGTAAGTCTTAGGCTGACTACAAACATATCTATTGGGTCAAATAAAACTAATTTTATCTGTCCTTTTTATTCTTAGATGTGGCTACACAATGGCTTACACTTTATGTATTAAACAGTGCTGCCCTAGATTAAGTCCAAATTCCTTAGCATGGTCTCTCCTTCTGACTACTATGTTTGAGCAGTGTTGGAATCTTAAGGCAACTCCGTGTACCCATGGCAGCAACACACTATATCTGCAAATGGCTTTACAGATAAAAGCAAGTACTATAGTTCACCTTCCAAAACAATGCCTATACATTACCTCAGCTATCATTATGCTGACCTGGTAAATCACTGTTCTTAATATACTGTGGATTAGTGACTGCTGTGTCCTAGCTTCAGTCTTGATGTCTATTTCGGCTCCAAATTTTCTTATTCTCCACACATACGTTAGCCGTTTCTTTCTTTAAAATACCAGAGTAGAGATACTTAGGAAGCTCATGGTTTTAGAGGTTCACAGTATGAGACCAGGAAGTCCCACAATCTGGTGTCTGAGGAGTGTGAAGAGGGCAATCACTTGATGAGCCAGGAAGCAGAAAAGCTAGGCTGAACTTGGCTTTAACCAGTCCTCTCATGAGAACTACCTTCTGAGGTTATGTCCCGGAAGACCTTAAGACCTCCCACTGTGCCCACCTACTAACACCACAGATCAAGTCTCCACTCAATCCATCAGTTATTAATAGTAACCGACTGAGGTTCAAATGTGTTGTAAGTTGGAAGTCAACTTCTGTTTAAACCTTAAAAGCTGTCCCTGGTAGTCCATGCTAAATGCAGATTCCTCCAGGCTCCTTATCTGATTCCTGCTCACTCAGTTTCACAGACTAATCCTGCAGGATTCAAGGATTATGACTCATTTTAACTTGGAAAATTATCAGCCAAATTACTTGTCTTTTCCTCAAGGTCACCATTTGTATCATCAAATTCCTCTTTTGACAACACCTTGGAGTCAAACAAGAAAAATAAGTGTACTCATAAATATCCTCATACTCCTCCCTTTCAAACGTTCATGAACTACAGTTACAAGGACCAATTGTTTCTGGACAGATGACACAAAAAATGTAATTACATCCCATGATCCAGTAGTCTCATTAACTGTGGGAACTCTCAACCAAGCCTCTCTCCTACTTGAGGCTAGACATAGAAAGCTGACTGCCCACCCACATACCTGATTTTTCCGAGTCTGCTGACCATGGTAGGAAAGTGGTAACTACTACTGTCCAAACTAGCATGTCTTGTGAATTTAAGCCAAAGCAACCTAAGAAGGTAACTTGCCTCCTTTCTGGGTATGCAGAACCCAAAATATACTTTCATGAGATTCAAAACATCTGTTGCATGGAATAATGCATTTCTGTTAACTCAGAAATGAATCATACAAGATTAGCTGTCATAAACAGCCAGAAATGAAAATGACAGGAAAATTTTATTTAAAATTTATGCCAACTTCTAGATCTATATACAAATGTTTTAAAATCAGAGCAGCACACTGTTAACACAGGAATTATAATGCTTTAAACATGTTACTTAAGGTTTTGTTTTCTGCTCATATATATTAGATTCCAAAGGCTGAACATATCTTCATTTGCTAGGCTTCTGTATGTTCAAAGGAGGGATAGAGCTATTGATGGTGAATACATTCTGTTCAGCAAACAGCACTTGGTCTGTAATAATAGGGACTCACAAAATATTTTGGACTGGGGCTAAAAATGTGAATAAAATATATTTGCATGTACATCGAGTCAGTGTTGCTTATTTAAAAAAAATTTGTTCTTTATTTGTCTATATCATAAATACAACAAAGTCATCTCATTTCTGGTCCCCAAAAGAAAACCTACTTTAAAAGTTTAAAATAATTTTATTAGTACTATTAACAAAATGCAGTAACCGGAGGTCCTTCACAATCAAGGTTTAGAGTACACAAATACTCAGCACAGTTTTGCCCCTACTCCCTCCAATTCTGTTAGAAGTATGTTCATTTGATGACATTTATACACATTAAACTATTTTCTAAAATTCTTAAGATAGCCACTCCCCCCCATTTTTACAACTTGCAGGATTCCTTTAATTTCTTAAAAGTACTACAGTTCTGAACCCCCCCACCCAACTTACTATTTTCTCACAAAATTCAACTTCACAAGTATTTTGTTGGTTTGAGATAATACTTGAAAAAATAGCTGATGCTACAGTAAGTTTCTTGTATCGACACTTAACACCCTAACCTGACTCATGACCAATGCTGAGTCTAGCCATTTAGGAAAAAGCCACTCCACAGGGAGATAATAAAAAAACAAACCAAAGAATCACAGCCTTCTCTCCGTATCTTGGAGGCATTCTCCATTGCTGGAGGGGTAGCATGTCTGTCACAAGAGTAAAACTTCAGAATGCTCTTTGCTGTGCAGTGAAACACTTCTCCAACAGCACCAAATGAAAAAGCATGTTGTGACAGAGTGATCCCCTGGGGTTTCTGTTTGTTCATGTAAATCAGATCCCATCATTTACTGTGCTTGCATTTTCTAAAAACATGAGAATGCTATAAAAATGTGCTTCCAAAATAAATTATTCTTAGACTATAAAAACATTTTACATTCTTCCAGTCTACACATTGTAAAACAGGAAACTAGTTGGTGCAGTATTCATATTGTAAAAAATATTTTACGTGTACACACACAAACAATGCAAGGTTTTAAGTAAAAAGCAACTCATTAATCAACTTAATGGTCATGTACTCAATTACACAAAAATGTTAATTATCTTTAATGAAAACCAACTCTAAAGGATAATCCCACCTACCAGATAATTTAAGACTTGTCCATGTGAGAAAAATCAGGATTTTCCAGCTCACTACTTGAAGCCCCCCGCCCCCCCCAAGATGTTACCAGTTTCTTTCACAGCACCCAGTCCTCAAAAGGAGGCAAACAGTCTGGGGAGGTTGGTGGCTGTGCTGTGCTCAGTATCTGGCTGCATGGGCAAGTGAAGACTGAAATTTAGTCTTGTGCTGCACTTGCCAAGCCTTCCACAATACACCTGAGCTTTGCTTGTGTAGAGGGTGGATTTTTTCCTAATGTTCGCAAGTGTGCTGTGTAGACAGTCCTGACATTTGTTGGGAAAGTGCAGTCAGTGCTCTCCTAGGATAGGTGAGCAACAGGGAAAGCATGGTTGACATAACTAGCAGCAGATTGTTATTAGCAATCAAATTCAGTAATAGTGTTCCTATCACCTTAGCAAAGGCAGTGGGGCATTTCTGTTTTGTTGATTCTGTTGGTTTTATGCAGGACAATGTTAAGGGGCTTCAAAAACACAGAAGCAAAGGAACAGCATGTGAGCAGGGACACTATCTCAAGTCCACAGAAAGGCTGTGCAGAAACAGTGGCTGAGAGACTAGGCAGAGACCTGGGGAGCAGGGTCCATGGCCTGTAGTACGAGGTGGCATACACCAACAGTCTCCAGATGAGTTCCCAAATGAAAGCTAAGTCACATACAACCCCCTTTAGAGCTTTCTTTACAAGCCTACATTTAACTATCTTCCCAATGTTTTACATGTATTTTAAGAAGTCAGTCCTATCATGTTTTATATTGGCCATTTATTTTGTGAGAGTGGTAAGGGCAAAGAGGAGACTTACTTTTAGATGTCTTCCTCCTATAGCCATCATTAAAATTGTTTTTTGGTAAAAAGGCACATTCCCTATCGAATTATCATAAATCAAGACTTTTTAAAAGTAAAATCTAAATAAATACTTAAAATATATTTCATCTCCTAACACCTATTGAAATAATAAATTTTGGCAATTCCTTGGGACCGTTCTTTAAAACAGCCAACAAAAGCAAGACTCTGTGCTGTAACAGAACATTCACGAGTATTAGAGAGTGGGGAAGGGATTAAAAAGAATGGCCATTTTGCTATAACCAAACTTAAGGTAACTATAAAGACAATATAACTTTTGTCATGTAACAATATTCAGGAGATGAGTTAAAGCAAAAACAAAGAGGATGTGCACACCAAAACATAAGTTTAATTCTTCAGTAGCATTTATATAAAGAGCATGTGTAAAATATCCTAGACTTGCCCCTCTGAATATAATTATAAAAGATGTGTATCTACTTGCAAACAGGTGCTACACAAAGAATTCAGATTCCACTAAAGGAAACTGCTGAGTTTCATATCCTCTCACCAGAGAAACACATGTCCACAAACTTGTGCGTACAATTTCAGGGCCTTCAAACACCTTCTGAGGTCTAATCACAAAGCTCAGGTTAGGAGCTTTCAACATTCCTAGAGAGGATCTGAAGGATTAACAATCTCATTTCTACAACTTTTATTTCTCCTACTGAATCTGGAAAGGGTATTCCAAACCAGAAAGAAAAAAAAAAACAAAACTTGCTTTAAAGACCAACTTTTTTTTTTTTTTTTGCTTATTTGCCGCTGGAAGAAAGAACATCCCAATCTCTAGTAGCTTCTATCAAATGTCGTTGGCCATGACTCATCCACTCTTCCTGGTCTTCATAGAGCCGCCCACAAAACCAGCATTTAAAAATACACTGTGATGAGTCATCAGGCAAGGAATCCACCACCTGGTAGTTGTTTTTATGCACTTTTTTAAGTTTCATTTTCAACATCATTTGCCTTTTAATCTGATTAGCTTCCTCTGCATTCTGATAGGTCAGCCGAACGTGATGCCTTCTGATGCCTAGCTGACACCTCGTCCTCTCTGATAAAACAACTTTGAGGACATTGCCTTTGTACTTATTGATTACCTTCATCACGTTGGTCACTTCTGGTGAGTCAACATCAGGATGATTTAACACAATGACCGGCTGGTTCCGACGGGGGCATTTAATTAACTGATCTGGTTTAGCTGCTATCAGTCGAAGCTGTCGTGCAACCTGAAAAACTGAAGGATCTTTGAGACAGCGGCTAGGATCAGCCTGAATCTTACTTTTCTTCTTGGAGGAGCTTACTTGTTTGATTTTATTTCTGCTTGTGGCAAGATTTCTCGAAGGCAGTTTTCCTTGCTTATTCAATTCACTGCTTCCTTGCTGTCCATGAAGGGTGCCTGTTTTTTTAGGGGTGGTGTTACAGTAGACAGCACTCTCTTTTCTTGGTTTAGGCCGAAGAGAAGTCTCAAGTACTCGTGACATGTCTATTGGCCCAGCTTCACCTGTCAAAACCTGTAGGTCTGAGTTGGTCTGTGTTACAGGGCAGAATGGAACTGGTTTTATTAACTCTGTTTCATTGCAAGGTATGCTGACAGGTGCTTCACATGTGGCCTCTATAATATGGGCATCCTCAGAGGAGTTGAGAACCCTCAACACAGCTCCTTTGGGGATTAACACTGGAGTAGCTACATGAGGCTTCCTGGTCACTCTGCTTTCGGTCTTCCCATCGCAGCCATCTACACACTTTGGATACATCTGTGGATGAGTAAGCTGTTCACTGCCCGTTCTACCATGATCATCTTTGGGCTTTGGAAGAGCACCTGCAGAAGGGCCAGGGCCAGTGAGTGACACATTAATTTCTCGAACACTTTCAGGACCAGCTTTCGAAGTTACCTTTGATGCCTGCCCTACAGAACGACGATGTGCACTATTTGCAGCCAATGATGAAGGTTTGCCACAGGATTCAATCAACTGAGCTATCTTTCTGCGCAACAGTTCAATTGACTTTATTTTGGAGGTTGAACTACTCCACTTAATGCCCTCAGGAACATTTTCAGATCCAGAGCTGAGAGAAAATACTGATGAGATTACTGGACCGTCAAAAGTGTCCTTAGTCCTTTCAGAGTCCTTTAATTCCAAAGGCTTATCACCAGGCTGTTGAGATCTGATTCCATCCTCTCCACTTAAATTTATATGTGAACATTCACTTTTACGTTGAGAGGAAATTGGGCCTGTATTTGAAACTGCTTTGTGGTCTTCTGTCTGGGTATTTTCTGGCTTCCTACTAGAAGCAGCCATTTTTACAGGAACACCGATCTTACTTCTAGACTCTCTGTCACTTTCCTTTAAAGGCAATGAGCCTTTTTCTCCAGAGAAGGAAATGGTTGAAGGTGACACAGCAAGCGGAAATAACTTCTGTGAATCACTGGGCAAATTTTTTCCATCTTCAGCAAAAGAATGGGCAGGTCTATAAGTAACAGGGTTTGAGGTACCTCCAAAACCACATAAAACACTGTTTTTGACTATAGATGCTGGAGAATGCCCTTTTAAGGCAAGAGAAGGAAGGGAGGTTCTGTGTGGATACAAACTGTTTTTTTTCTGCAAATCCTCCATTGTATCAGACTGAAAAACAGATTCTCCACGGTTGTGCACATTAGAATTTGACTTGAAAAAATCATAAGACTTAAACCATTTAACATTTTTAAGTTGTTTCTGAACTGAAGATTGAAGATTATTAATGCCTACAAATTTTCCAACATTCCCTTCAATCGTTAATGATTTTGTTTTTTCCGTACAAACTATTGTTCCTTGTTCATTTGAAACATTCTTTTTATCCATTGGCTCAGAACTACCTCCATCATCCTTGCTGGCTTCAAGGCAGCTGTTTTCTTCCAGTGGAAACAGTTTCAGAACAAGCTGCTGTGTACCATTGACAACTTTCACATCTATCAGCTGGGCTAAACAGTTTGCTGGGACAACTAGTTCTGCTGGTGCCACAACTGTTAACGGCATTCCCGGCTGAACAGGTTCTTTTGCAGGAGACAACACTTCCACTTCCACGTTTTTGTTCTCAAACAGACTGACTTCATTTGGCTCAGATAGCGTCACTTTATTTGGAACACACACTACATCTTTTTGGTATTCCTTTGATTCAGGTAACACCATGATATTGTGTATTTTGTCTTTATTTGTGTGGACAGAGAATCTTGCAAGTTGATCTGACAACTTGTTTTGAAATGTAGTCCTAGGGTTGGAAGCTTTTAAAAGCTCTGTGTTTTGTTTTGAAGCACTGGCTCTTTTCGGTTCCAGCTTGGCAACAGTTTTGAGTGGCCTTTTTGCACCAGCCCGTTCATGTACTCTCTTTCTATGCTTGACAATATAATCATTTCTAATAGCACCATAGTCACAATACTCACATCGATAAGGGAATATGCCTGTGTGTTTCACCAAATGTCTCTGAAACTCTCCTTTTGTGTATGAAATGTAGCTGCAGTGAGAGCAAATAAATTTAATCTCTTCATGTTGAAGCATGTGCTTTCTGTACTGCAGAGGGTCCTTGGTGGAAAATCGACACTTATCACAGTAGTATTTGCCTGGCTTAAAGTTCCTTACCTTAAATTTGTTATTGACAGGACTTGAGATGGTTTCAGTTTTATTTCCAAAATGAGTAGCACTGGGATTACTGTTGACAAACTGCAAATGGAGAGGAGCTGCATCAAGGTTGCATTTGAAGCAGATATATTTGTCCTCCTTTGGGCTTTGACCACTACCCTTTTTCAAATCTTGGAGAGGGATTCTGTGAACACTTTTGCATTTTACACATGTAGCAATGGTCATCATGGCAGCCTCAGCCTCTGAGCCTTGATACAAAAGGGTTTGAGCTTCCTGTCTATCTGGCCGAGTTGCTCGATTGGCATCAGGTTGTTTGGGTGACATGGTCAAGGAATTGGGTCCACCATTCATTTGTGTAGTATACAACTGTTCTCCGGTATCCTTCATCTTCTTTATCTGCATTTCTCAAAAAAGCTGACTGGAAGTCAGAAGGTTTCACATGATAAAATCCTCTGCAGGCATCCTTCAATAAAGATTGGTACAGCAACAGCTGTTTCCTGGGTGCATACTTAGTAGTCTTTTTATATACACCACCACTGTAGGTGCATGGTCCACAAGTGTGATTGCTTTCAATTGTCTGATATTCTAGGCAACACTACAGGAAGACAAAAATCATAAAGAATGATCAACACATGAACTTAAGGCTAGCTAAGCTATTACCAAACTGTATGCGAAATCTCAACATACAATCTTAAACTCATATTATAGTAACACATGTGAATATAACATAAAAGTTGGCAAAAAAGCCCAAATTGAAAACATTTTCAAGCTCTGTCACCTAAAAATCATCAGTTTAGACAACTCTAAACAGACATACCCAGAATGAGGCCATAAAAGCAGCAATTCAGAGCAGTTTTCCATTAGTGAAAGTCATTTTTAAGTGCCAATGAACACATCCTAGCAGTTTTCACAAGTAGAATTTCATATTGGCCACACAGAAACCTTGTATACAACACTGTCAGTCCAGTTTTTAACATGTGTTATCAAGTAGTAGACAGGTCTTTGGCTCCGGTGTTCACATCTGTTTCTACATTAAAGATCATTACATCTTAGATATGAACGCTCTTGTTTAAACACTCAATTTTCTTTCACAAGTGGTAAGAAGTCAGGAATTCTGATAATACCAGGAAGATAAATAGCTATTCCTTCAACATATCATGCATCAGCGTTTATTCTCAGTGCTGGAGGTTGATGAGCAACAGCAAATTCATTCTCAATCCTCAGGATACGTATACCACAGAAAGCTGGGGCAGGTTATATATTTGTCAAATGGTGGTTAAGATAACTGGAAGAAAAACACGATCAAACAAGATGAGGAGGAGAGGGAATGCCAATGTGATGGTGAATTTGCAAGGCTGGGGTAGAAGGATGGACAGCTGGGAAGGGCCTCATGCTGACACTTTAGAAGAGACCCGGGGACAACCCAGGAGCACTGTGACTGTTTGGAAAAGGGATGTTTTAAGCAAACAGAAGGCAAGTCCATGGAAATTCGGCTTGGTACATGTAAGGAAGAACAAAGACTCCAGTGCTGGAGGGGAATATGGAAGGGGTAGTGAGAGAGGTAAAGCAAAGATCTATAAGAATATTGTAGGGATGTAGCTTTCTTCTACCCAAGAAAAAGAAGTGGGGTGAGACTGGCATAGCAGCATGACATGACCTAATTTACATTCCAACTACCGCCTCTAGATTCTATGAGGATGAGTCTGAGGGTTAGACAATGGCAGCAGACTGTGACTAGCTTGGATTGGGCAGTAGAGGTACAAGTGTATTCAAAAGCAGGTACTTACTCCAATACTCACATGTTATGTTGCAGTGACTAATTTTGATACATATTCTAAAGACTTCTTCTAAAATATATAGAATTAAGAACCAAACATAAACCATTCTAGTTTGGAATCTGCTCAAAATCCTTTTTTAAATGACTTTTTAAAAAGTCACTTAAATCTTTAATCTCTTTTTTACTTCATCTGGCAATCAGAATTAAGGATACTTATCCAATGCTTCCCACAGAACTACCATGGTGACTAGAGTGTAAGAAAACATGTGAAATTTTAAAGTCCAAATGTCAGGAAGATACAGACCCTCAGTAAATATTTGCTTGGTAAGGGGCAGCAGTATGACGGATAATTACCAGCTTTCTTGTGGCAACTTGCCAAGAGTCATACATAGTTAACTTGAAAGGCTGGCCTGGAAGAGCAGAAAACCTCTCAGTAGGGTCAACAGAAAACCCTGATCTGGCATAAAATCTTCTCCTTTAAAAGTAGCTTTGGAAAGTACCAGCAGAACTTACCATAATTAATAAGCTGTCTTTTGCAACATTTTTTCCTATCTCCCTTTTTTCGAAAGGTATTTATCTTCTTCTAAAGGCAATTTCCAGCATACAATTATGCCCTGGCTTCTGGGGACTCAATTAGACTTGCCCTAACTTTAAATGTGCATATAACACTTTAAACATCAAGTGGATAGAGGTCTGTGGGGACACAAGATGCTGTCTGTCCCCTCAAGGTTCCACTGTCTAACCAGGTAAGGGAACTGTGAGTCTAAAGAGAACACACAAACGTCTTAAACTGGCAACCAGTAAACACTGGCAAAGGCAAAGCTTCCATCGACCAAAGCACTGTTAGTGCAGCCAACAGGCAAGACTTTGAGAAGAGGTGCTGAGGTGCACTTTGTTTTCCAGATCTGTCAATGTCTCTAATGAAGGAAAAGAGAAGTCACATGTACAACTTCTACTACAAGTCAAGTGTCCTCAAGCAAGCCACCCATATACATGCTCTTGCTCATCTATAAATCATAAGCCTGGACCACATAATTTCTAAGCCCAGCCTGACACTGTTGATCCCTGAAGTCACACCCTTTATAACCAAAAGACACTACTATCATAATTTTCATCCAGCAAGACAGAAAAAGCCTTAGCTACAACTAGAACCTAAGAAAATCAGAGGCCCAAAGGATGCAGAGGAGGAAGGCAGGTGGTAAGGCGGACAGGGTCTAGGGGTTCCGAATCTGGAGCCGTGTCAAAAATCACTGCTAAAATACATGTCCCTGGGCTTCATTCTGAGGCTAGTGCATCTAAGTCTTGGGAGAATAGACATTTGTGATTGATAAAGCACCCTGTCTAATCTCAGTGGAAAACCAGCACTCAGGATAATTAGCTGGAGCTTCTTGTGACATTCAAAGACTTAAACATTTTCATCAATTGGCCATGCAGTTGATGCTGATATCACCATTAACAGAAAACCTCCTTCCTTCTTTAAACAGTTAATTTTATTTTCACATAGTTCTGTCAACAATTTACTCATACATGAATACTGAATCCAGCTTCCCTGTGGCCTTTTTTCCTCTTCTATCTTGATTCCGGAGCTGCAAAAACAATATAGACCCTGATAGAACCCTTGTTAACCCAGTCCTTAGTTCTCAATTCTGTTGAAAAGACTTGCTTCTCAGTCAATACGCACTACTCTGCTCTATCAGTCTTGTAATCCCATGAATGAGAGCAAATGAGAGAGCAAGCGAGGGAGTGTGCCATTTAGTTGCATTTCACGGCGTACATACTCTTTAGTCAAATACTGCATGGCGTTTTAGTCAACAACAGGCCAAATATCTAATGGTGGCTCTGTAACATTACGTACCCTAGTGGTATCTTAGTCCCTTGTTTGTGTGAGGGCATTCTATGATATTTGCACAGTGAATTCACCTAGCAGTCTATCCTTCACAATGTATCCCTGTTACTAAGCCACATGTGGTCATATTTCAACCTAAGATCTTCATCCATTAACCCTAAGAAATTCTCAAATAAATCATGACAAGACTCCTCTATTTTAAAAATCACCCAAACCAGGATTCTACTTGTACATTTTTCAGTTTTTTAGCACTTTTCCAAGCCTTCAAGATTCTTCCAAAAAAAAAAAATCACATTAGGCAGTTTTTTGTTTCTTTCCAAGTCCTCCTAGAACTTGGGAGGTATCATTCTTTCCAAAACTGAGGATAAACTGGGAAGTCGGATCATATCCGCCAATAAGAAGTAGAGAGCATCTTGATGGAGGGAAGTCTCAGGAGAATTAATCAAGCCAAGCTGAACGCTTAAGGCACAAAGTCCCCTGGGTTGTGCCTCTGCAAGACTTTCCCAGCAGTTATTTATTCTACGAGTCCACGGGAGCAGGTGCCAACATGAAGCACGAGGCTGTGATTAGCAGATGGAGTTTAATAGGCAAAGAAGGACCTCTAGGCCATGACTGCACTATATCACCTGTTTGAACTTAGCTTCTTGGCTTCTAAAGCACTCTCAAAATGATGAGTTACTGCATTGCCATTTCCCTCGGTCTGGGTGAAAAAAAAGTCAGGTTTTTTAAAAATAAGCAGATAAAAGTTCTTTTTGGCTTCTGGAATTTGTGTGGCTAGTTCAGGTGTAATACTCCAAGATGCAGGTAAATGACCGCAGCAGCCTCTTATAGTGGCAGTTACACATGGACATTCCTGAGGGCACAGCAGGCACACTGCAGCAATGCGCTTCTAAGCCCCTGTTCCTTCAGACAATTTCCTTCACTGGGTTCATGTCAAGTACAACCACCTGTGAAGTGGAGTTCTCTTGGCGTGTCACTTTCAGTGGGCCAATGACCAAGGATTCTAAAAGATAATGTAGACAACAGGCTGTGCCTGGGTGCACCTGACGCTGAGGGAAAACTTAAGAAATCAGTATTAATATTGGTGCCAGCATTCACCTACCTTTGAAACTCAGTGTCTTTGCCACTGCATTTGTACGATGATAGGTAATTTAGGAGGGCTCTAAAAAACAGAGGAAATACCTAGTATTATTACTTTTATGGTATAATACAATGTCCAATACCATTTTCCAAAACTGTTTAATAGCACACAGTGAGCTATACAGTGTAGAATTATCTACATCATCAGCCGAAGGTGACTGTCATGTCCCAAGGAGTGGCACAGTTTGTGGCACCAATGGGCTCTCTGGACCACATCTTGTTTATGCTCAAAAGAAAGGCTTAGAAGCACCCACATGGTAGATTTTCTTTTGCTTGTGAGTCCACTGATTTATGGAGACATAAGGGGAAAAATACAATGTGTGGGAGAAACCAGTTCAGTGACATTGAAGGCTTAAAAAAAATGAAAGATTGTATAAGTTAGTAAAAAAAGAGAAATATTTGACTTTTAAATATTGTAAAGAGGTAACTATTAAGAGAAATGAATGGAGGCTGTCATTGTGGTGCAGCTGCTTAAGCTACTGCCTGCGACGCTGGCATCCCATTTGAGTTTGAGTTCTGGCTCTTCTACTTCCAATCCAACAACATGATAATGTGCTGGGAGCAGTGGAAGATGGCTTGGACCCCCAGCACTCTCTTGGAAACCTGGATGTAGGTCCAGGCTTCTGGCTTCCCAGCCACTGTGGCCATTTGGGGAGTGAATCAGTTGACGGAAGACACCTCTCTTTCCCTAACTCTGCTTTTCAAGTAAATCAATATAACTTTTTTTTTAAGAGAAATAAACAGTAAAATAGTGGTTAAACATATAGATTCTGTAGTCAGATGATGGGCTTTTAAATCTCAGTCCCATTCCTTTCTAAGCTGTGTGATCTGGGGCAAACTGATTCTGCACCTGTAACAGAGCCAGTAACTGTACCTACTCATAGCATTATCATACAGGTTAATGGCAAGAATGAAAGTAAACATGCTTAGATAAGTTACTGATGCATTAAGTTATTAAGAATATTATTTCCCATTTTTAATAAAGAAATTATACCAATTATATAAATAGGACAGCTGAAATGAGTTTCTTAGCTGCCTGACAATTACACACACTGAGTGTCATTTTACTAATGTAATCCTATTTATCTGGTTGTATAGCTTAAAAGGTAATTTACCCCAGGTCAAAATTACTCCCTAGCTTTAGCAGCAAAGTGACTACAAAATGCTTATAATCACCACAGAAAAGATGTTCCCCTACAGGAGTACTCACTGCAATTCCTGTTTCTAGACAAGCTGGTTACTGACTTACCTTTTCCCCACTCACTTCTTGCTAAGCTCAGACACAATGTGAGACAGTCTTGTAGCAAATGAATGTCTCTGCGCTAGATGCTAATGTGAAAAGAAATAAAAGGGGGCCCATTTCATCACATGCATGCCACATGGACCATCACATTTTGTTCATGAGAGGTAACCAGAAAACTCGGCACAGTGGCCTGTCTGCAACCTTTCTGGCTGGAGAAGCAAATTTCATCTGCTCTTTTCAGAAATCCTGACAGAGAAGTCCTCCTTTCATTAGCATTTCTACCAAACCCACTGGGATGTAACTGCTGTGCCCTCTCCAAAGAGCACAGGGAACAGTGATGGTAGGTTTATAGTTCAAACTCTGAAACTGTCTCCTATTTGCTAGGTCCTTAGGGAAGTGATTTTCTCTGGTCATTGTCAGACCAGGAAACAGGTTTTAGTTCAAACTTGAAAGTCGATCGGAGAGAGTAAGCTACACAATGTATGTCAAGCCCTGAGCGCAAAGCGCAGCTGCTCAAAAACTTTGTTATCTATTTAAAGGCCTAACTAACTTTTCACAGGAACCCCATTTTTTTTTTTTTTTTTGATAGGCAGTGGACAGTGAGAGAGACAGAGAGAAAGGTCTTCCTTTTCCATTGGTTCACCCTCCAATGGCCGCTGTGGCTGGCGCGCTGTGGCCGGCGCACTACGCTGATCCGAAGCCAGGAGCCAGGTGCTTCCTCCTGGTCTCCCATGTGGGTGCAGGGCCCAAGCACTTAGGCCATCCTCCACTGCACTCCCTGGCCACAGCAGAGAGCTGGCCTGGAAGAGGGGCAACCGGGACAGAATCCGATGCCCTGACGGGGACTAGAACTCGGGGTGCCGGTGCCGCTAGGCGGATGATTAGCCTAGTGAGCCACGGCGCTGGCCAGGAACCCAAATTTTAAAATGATTCTACCCTGAAGTGCCCACTAGCATGTAAATAAGTAATACTTTAATGGTGGAAAATATCCAACATTAGACATGTCAAGTACCAACATTTCTCCAGCAGGATGACATCTAGGAAGTAACATGTTACCTCAGTGAAGAGCATTTTCACTCCATGACAATGAATCAACTGGTCTGAATGGATAAACACATTCCTAGACAAGGAAAACCATCAGGTAGACACTATAATCTTTATGCCAAATTACCCTGCACTTAGAAATAACAATTCCAAATTCACTGACATTCCAGTGACAAAAAATACTTGCAAATGCTGCTGACACACATTTCACTCTTGCAATCTTACATTTCCTGCTAAAAGCAAGCGCACTGTTTAAGCAACAAGAAGATTGCACAAGATAGCTCTGCCTCATACCCCTGCTTTCCAGGTGAAAGCAGTTCAGCGTGACAAAGAAATAACGATAATAACCTTGAGAAAGCAAGAACAAGGTCCAAAAGTTAGGTGTATGACTCTGGACTCACTAACCTTAGGCTTGAGTTTTGTCACTTGTGAAATGGGAGAAACAAAAAGAATAAATGAGGAAAGGGTAAATGAAGGGGCAAGAAACTTCTGCCTGACGGAAATGCTTTGTCAAGTCAGTTCCTGTAAGACACTTTCAAATACAGAAGGATCCAGTCAAGTCCGGAGACAGAAACAGGTGCATTTAATGCATGCGCCTGATGAGATAAAAAGTCTATAGCAGTAGGACTTCACCTGGTGGAGGCAGGGAGCACCTCCTCCTCCCTGCCTGTGGGAAGTTATTTGGGGATCAACCTGACACTGTTTGGCACCCATCACCTGAGTCTACAATGTATATGATTTTTCTCCAACACCTTTTAAAGAGAAAAAACTTTCAAAAGAATGAATATGACCAGTACTAGAGCCCTTTAAGTCTAAAACTTAGTTTTACATATGGAAAAAAAAGGGAAAGGAGCAAATATGCTCAGATTAGTATGAGAATCACACACAGTAAAAATAAGATATTAATAAAAGCAATATCAAATAATTTTGTGCTATGAAACAGTGACTTCAGGTCTTCAGAGATTTAAAAATGAAGGACACATACAAGTATAGTTTTGTTTTTCCTTCCCTTCTTTTGCTTTAAAGAAAAACCATAATTTTATAGAAGAAATTAATTAAAAGTTAAAGCACAATCACAGAAGAAACATCTCCCACTAAACCAGTGGTTTTCAACCTTGGCTACATTAGGGCAATTAAATTTATTTTTGAAGGGGTTTCTGGGACAGAGAGTTGCTCTACTGCACACCGGAACTACCTGCAGGTCTTTAAAAATAATAATGCAGCCGGTGCCGTGGCTCAATAGTCTAATCCTCTGCCTGCAGCAACGGCACACTGGGTTCTAGTCCCGGTCGGGGCGCCGGATTCTGTCCCAGTTGCCCCTCTTCCAGGCCAGCTCTCTGCTATGGCCCGGGAGTGCAGTGGAGGATGGCCTAAGTGCTTGGGCCCTGCACCCCATGGGAGACCAGGAGAAGCACCTGGCTCCTGCCATCAGATCAGCGCGGTGCGCCGGCTGCAGCGCGCTGGCCCCGGCGGCCATCGGAGGGTGAACCAACGGCAAAAGGAAGACCTTTCTCTCTGTCTCTCTCACTGTCCACTCTGCCTGTCAAAATAATAATAATAATAATGCTCCATCCTGTATACTTTAATTGGGGAGGGGCTGAGGGTAGGATACAGTATGGGCAACGGGGTCTAAAAAGCTTCCCATGTGATTCTACATATAGAATATGTGAAGAAGTCTATATAGACAATGTGAAGACCACCAGACACCACAGGTGCAGGAGCGTGTGGGAATGGAAAGAATAACAGCAACATCCTCTGCAGTCCTTTTATAGTGAACCCACCTACAGGTGCCTGGAAGTTGGGCAAGGCCACTGTCTTGGGACTATAATGGGGAAACCAGACAAGCTTCCACCCGATGCTCTTCATACAGTACGGAACAGCAGTCAGCCTGCAGATCCTTAGAGCCCTGACTATCTCACACAGCCCGTGGCATGGCATCAGTACCCTGAGCACCAACCAAGAGTGATTTATCCCCTCAGCTGCAATGGGCTGCTGTCTTTAAGGAGTGTAACTAGGCACAAAGAAGTAAATGGTAGTTTCAGTAAACAGGCAAGTGCTGCATCAAGGATCTCAACAGGGGGCTCTCTCAGTGGCTGCTTGTCTGTCCTGGAGCACCATGGCCCAAGTCAGTGGAAGGGGTGCTTATATACATACGCAAGCTCATATATTACCTCAATACTTGTCAAAGCAAGCCTTCAGTTGTTACCTGTTTATTCCAAGAGCATAGGTATGGAAAAGCTAGGTGGCTCTTCTAAGGTCACAGAGTTAAGAGAAAAGCAGTAGCCGAAGTCCCATCTGAATTCTTTGTTTCTTGCTACCCTGCTATGTGAAGTGGTGAACCAAAGTGACAGCCAGGGTATACCGCCACTTGAGCACTGTTCTTACTTCTTGCCTGAAGCCCTCGTGCTGCAAACAGGGGTCGAATGTGGCAAGTTTCATGGGCTCTTCCTTCCTTTTCAGGCCTTTTCTTCTCAGGCGGTGAGTGCCATCTGTGTCACAATTTCAGACCCTGATGTAGGCTTGTGTATTCACAACCCCGAGTGGCGGTGTGGCAGCACGGTGCTACACAGGGAGGCCTGCAACAGAAGCCAGACACTTGGAGGTAAGTCCTGGAGGTGCACAGCCTTGCTTGCTTGGTGTATTTCTTCCAGGAACTAAAGGGTATGTGTCCTAGAAGTTCTTCTCAAAGAGGGTTATGTGGCAAAGTCACCTAGGGAGCTCAAAAAAAATGAAAGGATTCCCAGGACTCATATAGCCTGATTTATCAGATGACCCTTTTCTTGGGGTGGGGCTCAGAAATGTGGTGCAAAACTCTTCCCATGTGATTCCAGTGCCTCCCACCCCACTCCCACAGCACGATGAGAATGTCTGGATTAGGTGACCTCTAGCTGCTTTCATTCCAGGGATGAAATCTTGGAAACCGTAGTTGGCGAGAAGAGCATAAGTGGGCAATGATGATGAAATGCAGCACACAACACAGTCTGAGAACAGTCAAGACTGGGGACATTCTCACTGGTGAGGATCTTGTTTATCACACTCAACAGCACAGGGCTTGGCTCTTGGAGGCACTCAGTTCTAAAGTACTAGAAAGAATGAGCAGAGAGGAAATGGCAGCCCTGGCAGAGATGATAAAAATGGTCTTTGTTCTTCTTTTTGCACAAAAACTGGCCCAATCTTTTCACTTAAAGGAAAACAGACCTAGAGAAATAGAGGTATTATTGCTTTTTTAAAAAACTGCCATTACTGGAGTTTTGAAGTCCATGTTAAGCATAACACACCAGGGAGGAGGCCCATAAACAACGTGATCTTGTCCTTGGTCCTCCCTCTGCTCTTTGCCAAGTACACATGTAGTAACGTTATCAGCAGAACAGAAATGAATACATTCAAATGTGTTATTTTTCAACACTATTACATTAGATAGAAAACGACAAAATTTTAAACAATACATTTTGGTTAAAGATAATACTACACAATTTTAAAAACCAAATTCCTACCAATATTCCATTACTATTGGTTTCTAAATATTTTCTGGGCTCCCAGGACCCATGTTGGGATCTCTGTGCAAATACATCACAGGTTGGGATGAACTTTGTATATGCGACTGAGAGACAGTGTGAGTGAGTGAGGGGGAGGGGGAGGGAGGGAGGGAGAGGCAGAGGGAGAGGGAGAGGGAGAGAGGGAGAGAGAGGGAGAGAGAGGGAGAGAGAGGGAGAGAGAGGGAGAGAGAGAGAGAGGGAGGGAGGGAGAGAGAGGGAGAGAGACCGACCCATTTTCTGTTCTATGCCAAGCACTGTCAGTTTCTGGAGACCAGGGTATGTCTTCCTCTTAGGGATTTCAATTTGAAACCTAAGGAATAACGTCTGAAGGATCCCAACACAACACGACAGTGTAGTTGGGCACACATCTGTTGGAGCATTTCAGGTTTTCTTTTTTAATGTTACACTAATAAATTGTTCATCACCCCATTTTTAAAAATGGGGTTTGCTAAACACCCAACACACAGAGGCTATGTTTTCTTTCATTCTCTCCTTTGGATCTTCCTTTCCAATTAAGAAATGTTCATTCTTTTGCGCTGGGCATCCCTTCCCTGGCCCTAAACTGCTCCAGAACGGGGCGGGCTGGGATGGGGCAGGCCCACACAGCATGACATCAGCATCTGGGGCACTTCAAAGCATCCTCAACCCTCTCCCCTTCCCCAGCAGGAAAAGCCAAGCTCACCGGGGACCGCCTCCTGGGCACTCCCGGGGGAAGACAATGCCAGCAGGGTCCCGGGTTCATTGTTGGCTGGCTTCCCCTCGACGGCGCGCCGGCCAGGCCAGTCCAGGGCCAACAGCCTGGGCGCCGGACCCGAGCTTCGTCGTGGCCCCTGGGGCGGCCCGGGCCCCCTGCGGGCGTGGCCGGGGGCGGCTCCTGTGACCACTGGAAGCCCTGCGAGCATCAGCGCTCAACGACGAGGCCCGCAGGAGGCTTTAAAAATGGCCTCCTGACGACACTTCCTGCTCGGGCCGCCTGGCAGGAGCCCCGGCTGGGGACGCCTCGTTTAAACCGCTGGGGGCGGGGAGCCCGGCCCCGGGCGGCGGCCGCCCTCGCACGGCGCCGCGGGGCGACTCGGGGTCGTCCCGGCACAAAGACGGGCCGGAGCGCGGGGGGCGCCCTCCACGCCCCGGCCCGCGCCCGCGGCCGGCCGGGCTCCCCGCCCTCCGCGCTCCCAGGCCGAGCCCGCGGCCTGTCACGCCCTCGGCCGCGCCGGCGGCCCGGCCCCGGTCCGCGGCGACCCGGTCCGCGGCGACCCGGCCCGGCCCGCCGCGAGCGCGCCTCAGGCGCCACCGAGGCTGCGGGCTCGCGCCCCGCCCGGCGCCCGCCGCAGCCCGGAGCCCCCGCCCCGCGCCGCCGCGCCGTCTCCCGGCCCCGCCCGGCGCACGCGAACCCCGGGGGCCCTCGCCCTCCCGCTCTGCCGCTCACCGCGCCGGCCCAGGGTCCCGAGTCGCGGCGGAGCGCGTCTACACCGCCGGCCCCGCCACCGCCACCGCCGCCGCCGCCGCCGCCGCGCCCGCGGTAGATCCCTACCGGGGGCGGAGCCGGGCCGGGGGCGCGCGTGCGCAGTGCGGCGCGGCCGGAGCGGAGCCGGCGTCCGAGGTCCCTAAGGCTGCGCCCGCCCTGGGCGCTCTCAGCGCTCCCGGACCCCGCCGCGCCCCGCTGCAGGGCTTGGAAGCCGACCCCGCACGCTGCAGGCGCGACGCGCGGGGTCGGCCCTCCCGCTCAGTGCCGCTTGCCTCGGGAGCCGCTTCGGCTGCTTCCGCGGCCGAGCGCGCGCCGGCCCTCAGGGAGCGTCCAGTCGTTCAGCCGGTGAGTGAAAGCGAGGGAGAAGGAGCCCGCTCAGCTTCTAGATCCCCTTCTCCTGGAGATCTGAAGCGCGGGAGGAGGCCTCGGAGTCGCGGGTTCGAATCCCGGGTCTCGCCCGTGCGCCCGAGCCGCGGGCCTTGGCTGAGGCAGTGCCCTGACTCCTCCAAGTCTGGAGCTGGGGGCGACCGCACCGGAGGTTCTGCCTCACCGCTCGGAGGCTGCTCTGAGGGGCAGGGCAGACGACGACCGGCGGAGCCCGCGTGTGGCGCCTGCCCCGCGGACGCCACGGCCCTCACACCTTCGGACTTCGGGAGGAAAGATGTGTGTCCACACCGGCGGCGCCCGGGGGAAGAAGGGAGCCGTGTTTGCCAGGGTTTCTATGCCACAGAATGACACACTTCTCTCCAGCATGGGCAGGCGGTGGTAGAGTGACAGCGAAATGCCATCTCCAAGCCCTGGAAGAGGAGTGGGCGAGGCCGCTCGCCGCCCCTTCGCGTGGGCGGTCAGAGGAGGGTGTGTGGGGAGCTTGGGCAGTCTGCCGGGGCACTTCTGCAACGCGGACACGTGAGGGGTTCCGGAGGACAGCACAGCTGTGGGGCTGACAGACCGACGCCCACCCACCTGCTGGAATGCTGAGCCGGAGCTGGGAAGAGAGCCCAGAGAGGCCGTCCGTCCCCTACCCTGCTAGGCCGCAGTCCTCTGACCTCTCTCCTGATAAGGGAGCTGCTAGCGCTCACGGAAGCCAATGGACCTCTTCTCAAATCACCGCATTTATGTGAAGAGTTCAAAGTCTCCCTCCAGGATGGAGTAGGGTTTGGAAGGGCATTGAGAATCTAAACTGGCCTTTGCCGGAGGAAAGGAGCCAAATGAGGAAGGAGTCAGTTTTATGTCCTGGAGAACCAGAAATCTACCCATTCTAAATGGTTACCTCTCCCTTTAACTTCCATTCTTAGGTCACCAGTTCTGCCCTCTCCAGTCAAATGGGACTAATGAAAGGGCACCTGCAGGGTTTGAAAGAGTTGGAGCTGGTTACAAGTCCCAGCTGTGGCACACAGAAGCTGGGAGCCTGCGTCCCAACCGGTCTGAACCTCAAAGGCAAGTTGTCAGCAGTAAGCAGGAGAAGCCAGACCAAGACTTAGAGTTCCTAACAGCTAGGAGGTGGGTCTGTTACTTACATCTTTCAGGAACCCAAATTCAAGAAGATGAAGTGGCTTGGGGGGGTGGGGTCTGGAAATGGGATGATTACAACCCAGAAAATGGCCCAGCAGGGACAGACACCACACCCCTACAGAACAGCACTTCAGCTTGAAGTGTTCTCTCCAAGTCTTTCCTGGTGGGAGAGATCACGCACGCCTCCTGCATTTGTGGCTACTCTTCGCCTCTTCTTCCCCATCTTCTAGCCTAGTTTGCCCAGTTCTTTTTCCAGTGTTCCTTGAATCACCTCTACTCTGGCTTGAATTACGTTCCGCAGAAAGAGATGCTGAAGCCTTCATTCCTGTACCTGTGAACCACTGTGACTTCATTGGGAAACAGGGTCTTTGCCGAGTAATCAAGTTATGATGAGGTCACTAGAGTGAGCCCTTTTCCAACAGGATGTGTGTTCTTATAAGAAGAGAAATGACTCAGGGGAATGTGATGGGGAACGTAGACATGCAGGGAGAAGCTGGCATTGAAGACTGAGGCAGAGATTGAAGTTACGAAGCTGCAAGACAAGGAACATCTGGGGCTGTCCGAAGCTGGAAACAGCAAGAAGGATCCACTCCCTACCCCCTACACCCAGCCTCACTCACTTTTGGAAGGCATTGTGGCCCTGCTGACACCTTGATTTCAGACTCCTAGCCTCCAGAAACTCAGACTGTAAATTTTTGTATGGTACTGCAGCCCTAAGAAGCTCCACCTCCGGGTTACAACTGCCTAAGATGTAGGAGAGGAGAGGGAAGGCGTGAATGAAGCCAGTCATTGAGTATAGAGCTGATGGACATTGAACAAAACAGTGCCTGTCCCATGCCGGCACAGGCTAGGTGTCCAGTGAGGAACATTCATTTTGTTGGAGACAGTAGCCCAGACACCTGTAAGGGATTATATAATTAAGCTCTGAGATTACAAGAGAATAAAATGGCAGAGTGGCGTGGAAGGGAATGAATGCCAAGGGAGGGAAAGGATCACAGAAGTCTCACTGAAGCGGACTCTAACATGAGCCCCAAGCCACAGGACGATGAACAAGCGTTTTCAATAGAGGGAGCAGCACGTGCAAAGGCCCTGCGTTGGCAGGATTTCAGCTCATTTGAGGAAGAGAAGGAAGGGTACAGTGGATTTAGGAAATCTCATACAGGCTCTGAGCTTGAGGTTGCTTTAGCAAATTCTGCCTGGCAGAACTCGTGGCTCAGAGCGAGGCATTGGGAGCCCCCACAGTCATCCCTGCACTTGCTTCGCACCCACTGCACACAGACGCTACACCTTCTGTTTTCTCCAGTGGCCTCCTGCGTTCCTGAATATTAATTGTGCTACTTGAGTAAGACTCCTCCAGCGCCGGAGAAGAGAGTCAGGTCTCCACCCCGAGGGCGGCACGGATGTGTCCACTTCAGACGCTTTAAGACTTTATGGCTAAATGGGAAAGCCTAGGAAACGGGCTTTCGTTTTCCTTGAAAAAAGAAAAAAATGCATAAACGTCTAGTAGCTGCCTTAAGCCTTCGGTCGCAATCTGTGAAATAAGTATAAACGCAGCTTCCCCCAGGCTCCGCAAAGTCACCCTCCTCTCATCCCTGGGGGCCGGCAGCTCGGGCTGTAAGTCAAAATCCCGGGGTCCTAACTGGTACCTCCCAGCTGCATGACCCTGCACAAGTCACTGCCCATCTCTTGGGTTTTATTCGACTGCAAAATAGGAGTAATTGGAGCAACCTTTCCTGGAGGTTGCCAGGGCACCAGAGGCTAGGACCACGTCCCAGTCCTTTCTCCCTCCCCCGGGGGCTGCCCCGCTGCTTGGCGCGGGGCGGGCTGCGCACTCCCGGCCAGCCGCGAGCTGCCCACCGAGCGGGCGCGGCCCCTGGAGCCTCGCCGGGAGCTGCAGTACCGCCGGCGGCCTGCGGCGTCGCAGCAGGGCCGCGCTCGCGGCTCTGCGCCTGTAGAGCTCTACCCTGCGCAGGCGCCTCGCGGCCGGCGCGCACCTGGCCGCCGAGCCTGCAGCTCGGGGTGCCTCGGCCGCCGCGCGCACCTCGCTCCTTCGAGAGCCAGGGTTGTGCGGTTTTACTTTCGTTTCGTTTCGGCCTCGGGGCCGAGTGCTTCGGGGCTGGACTCCGGCCTAGGTTCTGCGGAACGCCGGGCGCCGGCGGAGCGGGGGTTCCTGGCGCGGTCTCCAGACCCTGGCCGGTGTGGGGAGGCGGGGTGAGTCCAGTCCCCTGCCTCTCCCATTTGTTAACACCCACCAAGCACGAAGGGACGCCGCCCTTGGGCCCCCGTCCCACCCGGGCGCACGTCTGTTTTGTTCCTTACCCAAGCTCGGGATACAGACAGCACACGACCCCGGTGGCGGGGCCGACCCGGGCCGAGCCGAGCTGAGCTGAGCCGCCAGCATCCTTGCCTAGACCAGGGCTGTGCGAAGCGTGTTGGGAGTCCATATCCATCCTAGGATGGGTTCCAGAATGTTCGGGGGTGGGATAGGTCAAGACAAGGTGAGGGGGCGGTAGACACTTCTGGCAGTTCGACGGCACACGGCGAACAGGGCACAGGAACTTGAGGGCATGAGGTGATACTTGGCGTGGTCGCTCATGCCGAGGACTGCATAGACCCGTGTAGATTCCGAAAGGTGGGAGTGGCAGGGAGTCCTCCTCCCGCAGGTAGATCCAGGCTGTTGGGGCGGCCTCGGCCTCATTACCCTGCTTTCACTGCCTTGCGCCCATGCTGTAGGATCCAGAGCGGTCCCTCTACAGAGTGCATGGGGTCAGATCTCTCCTCTGCTTTAAGTCCGTGCTATATGGCAGGCCCCACGCCAGCCGTCCATGTGGTCCCGCACTGTCTCCTCCTGCCCTGCTGGCTCCCTGTCCACCTTCGATGCACTAGGTTTCTCCTGGAACCAAGCCTCACTTTCTCAGAGACCTTTCCAGTCTCATGCCATGGCTTCCCCTCACTCTGTCACACCCTGAGTTTTATGTTCTTCACAATGAACTGAAATCCTTTGCCGGCTTCACAATGAACTGAAATCCTTTGCCGGAGCCTCTGTGCTTCCCCCACTAAACAATAAACCAGTGTCTGTCTTGTTTGCCTTTATATTCCCAGTGCCCGAG